TGATTCGAACTAATGGTTTGCATCAAAATAAAATCATATTTTTTTCCATTGTTGTTGTTATCATCAAATTGTTGTTGTTGTTGTTGTTGATTAGAATCATCAACAACAACAAAAGGTAAATTATTATTATTATTTGTTGTTGTTGTTGCTGTTGTTGTTGATGATTTTTTTATTGAAAATTTTTTAAATGGTAATATTTTTAATCCTGTTCCTGTTTTAGTTGATTGTACGGATGATGTTGATGATAATATCGATATCTGTGATGAACCAGGTGATTGTTGTTGTTGTTGTTGTTGTTGTTTTGGTTGTTGTTGTTGTTGAATAACCATTAAAAATGATGATGATGTTGTTGGTTGTTGTATTTTAACAATATGTTGATCTTTACGTAAACGATCATGTACGATAGCATGTACAATTGAACTTGATCTTCGTGCTTTATTATTTCCACTATTAACACTAAGATAACTACCACTTGTACCATTCCCACCGCCACCATTATTATTATCAATAACAATATGTAGATAATCTTTACGAATCGGTTGTTCAATATTTTGATTATCATTTTGATTAGTTAAACGTAATGATGCCTGACGATGATACCTTGGAACCAATTCAAATTCCTAATGTAAGATAATTTTGTTCAACAAACAATTTTTTTTCGTTTTTTCGTTTTTTGTTTTTTGACAATTTTCAAATAATAAAGTGCATATTTAACAATATTTTTCCAGGGGGCGACACTATGACTGATTGGTCGATGTGGGTGTGTGCATGGGTGTAAATAGGTGTGTCGGTGGGGGTCAATTGAACATGGGGGTGGGGACAACAGCTTTCATTCGTTTAACCCGGTGGGCAAAAAAAAAATAAAAAAATAGTCACAGGTAAAATTTTCCAAGCTTTTTCCAATCGACTATTTCGACTCAAGTGATCAATCACAATATCACAATATCAACGAATTTATCAAAGAATCAATTCACAATATTTGGATCAACATCAAACCTCATCATCAATTGAATGTTTATCCTTATGTTTACGACTTGAACCACGACGTATAAAGCTGAATGTTTTTTCCAATTTATTTTCTTCGCTATTAAAATAAAAAGAAAATTAGTAAAGATTAGTAAAAAACTTGTAATTTTTTTGTATTTTTGTATTTTTAAAATTAAAAAAGTAATTTTTAAAAAATGATTTTTAAAATTAGAAAAACAAATACCTATGATCTTTAAGCGATCCTTTTCGAGGATGTATACCCATTTCATCGAAATTTTGTTCTTCAGGTGGTAGATTTTGATTACGCACGGCACCCATTAAACGTTGTAATAATGATGGTCGCTGTAATATTTTGGATTTTCAAAAAAAAGTTTTTTTTTACGAATTCGATGACAACCACACAACCGGAGAAAGAAAAAGATTGGAAAACAATTTAAAGATGAAAAAAATTATCATATTTTTGTTGGAAATTTTTCGAAAGTAAAAATAATAACGAATAGACAAGACGATTGACGAAGACAAAAAAATTCAAATTCAATTTTTGTTTGAAATCAAGCAATCAATATTCCATAATCATCATAATTAACACAAGATGCAAACAAAAAAAAAGATTAATTCAATTACGAATTTCTTCGAAACGAAAACGAACAAACAACATTCCGATAGTTATTATCATTCATTCAATTCCAAAAAATTAAGTTATGACTAAGAAAAACATTCAATTAAAGAAGCTAATCTTATGATTTTTATCTTTAAAATGGACATGATCACTATGTATGTGTGTGTGATGCACATGCTTATCATCAAATATTAGATCAAAGAGAGAGAGAGAGACAACGAATCATCAATAGGAAGAATTTGAAAAGATTCATGCAAAGTGTGATAATTGAAACAAAAAAAAAAAAAAATGGAAAATCAAATTGATTTTTGATAATGATGAAGATGATGATAATTGAATTGATTTGATTTGAAAAGCCAAACATTATTTTGTTTTTGACAAAGAAAAAAAAATGGTGAATATTCAAATGAATTTTTTTGTTGTTGTTGTTGTTTAAAATAACTAACTGTCTGATTTGTTATATGGTGATTTTTTTAAAAAAAAAAGAAACATTTAAATAAGCTTTTGTGATTGCTTTGCTTTGCTTTGTTTTTCTTCATAAAAATACTGACGACTAAAGGGTTGAATACCTTATAAGTGTGTGTGTGTATTTTTTTGTAAAATTAATTTTAAAAAAAATCCTAGTGCATCAAATAATAATTAATTAACTTTTTTTTTGCCCCTTTTTATATAATTAATTTGGTGAAATAAGTGATGATTAGTGATTGTGTGTGTGTGTGTGTGTATGAAAAACTCCAAACGGACAATTCTGTTTGTACGATAAGACGTTGATTTTTTAAAAAAAATTATAGATTTAGTTGATTGAAAAACACACGTGTAATTTTTTTTTTGACAATTTCATAATTGAGACAGACAGACAGACAGACAGACAGTGATAGATAGATAGAAAGATAGAGAAAGCGATACAGATAATAATAAATATTACCGTCTTTGTTTCATCTTGTTGTTGTTGTTGTTGATCATCATCATCTTCATGTCCATTTTGATAATGATGATAATGACGATGATCATATGGTTGTTGATGATGTGAATATTGTTGTTGATGTTGACTATAATAACCTGATCGTGAACTTTCACGTAATGGTTCGGTTAAATTAAACTGAATTTTTAATGTAGAAAAATTTTAGCCAGTTTTTTTCGCATTTCAGAATTTCAAAAAAAGGAAAAATATTGTATTTTGTTTGTTTGTTTGTCTGTTTGACATTATCATCATTATCACCATCATTTTTTGATGAATTTGTTTTGTTTTTTGGTTGAAAAAATTTACTAAACTCTCAAGAATTACTATGAAACTATCACTATTTATTCATACCACAAAAAAAAGAAGATATTTATAGCCACCAAAACCAGCATTCATCATTAACAAACAAAAAAAAGAAATGTCAAGAATCCAAGGTAATAAAGGAAATGAACATATAAACAAACATCCAGAATTTCAATGAAAACTTTCATTCATTACAAAAAAAAGGAAAAGAAAATCAGTCATTCATTCATTCATTCATTTTTCAAGGGGAAGATAAAGGGTTAAAAAAACAATCTTGTATCAACAGAAATCAAGGCTAATAATCTTGGAGAATTTCAAAAAAAAGGAAATTTTTTTTTCTTTTTGTTTTTGTTGGATAAATTTCAGGTTTTTCAGATTGGAAAATCAATTAATTAAAAGTAATTAAAAATGGGGGAGAAAAAATTTACTAAAATAAATAAACACTACTTTTTAAAAAGGAAAACTTATTTTTGATTAAAAAAATGTGAAATTTTTTTCAAGTAGAAACAAAAAAGGGTTAAACATACCGTAAGACCAACACCAGGTATCTGACCGAAACGTGTTGTTTTCCAATTTTCTAATATTAAAAAACCGGCATAAATTTTACCAACAGTTAAACGACCATTACGTAGTTCATAATTTGGTGGTACTAATTTATCGATAATTTTTTTCGCTTGTAATGGCCATAATTTTACTAATGTATGTCGTAATTCTTTATCTGCTTGATCCATTTCTTCAGCCGGACGCATTTTTATACTTAGATTTTCACGTATAAGTGCAAATAATGTTGTTGTAAAATTTACTTTACCATCTTCGGTAACCGGCATATTCATTCGAATTAATTTTTTATATGCCAAACGATATGGACATTTATTACCAAAACCTAATGGTGGATCCATATTTCTTAACATATCATACATTTCTGAATAATGTATATAACCAGTTGCATTTGGATCATATTCAGCCCAAACACGTATAAATTCATCCAAATGATGTGCACCAAGTATTGATGAATCACGTGTTAAATAATCAAAATTATCCATAATAACAGCAACGAATAAATTTAACATCTTTTGAAAGGAAGGGAGAAAAATCCATTTAAATCCAAAGAAACTTTCCCAAAAAATAAACAAAAGAAACTTACCAAAAATGAACAGAAAAAAATAAATGTTACAAAATATGAATAAGCTAAATCCGAACCACAGCTATCTTTTTGTGAATCATTTTGCCGGGCTTTTGGATCACATGGTCGTCCGGAACGACATGATAACATTATTGCTTGCCATGATTCACCAGTTGCACATCTATTGGGAATTTTGGAACAAAAAAAAATTGAATTAATTTTTTGCTGAAAACCAAGACTGTTTTTTGATCCAAAAAAAACGTTTAAATCCTGTTTTTTAAATGTTGCTGTTGTCAAGTTAGTGTGTATTGTGTCTGTTTGTAAGTGTCAAGAATATTCGACAGATAATTGCGATGTCATCCATTACCAAATTAGGTAGATTTTCACAATGAGAAAAAACTTGCCTGAACAATAACATTAATCCTTGAATGAATGTACGAAAATTATTATGACGTGTTAGACTAGAATCGGGATTAAATTCGGTACCAATGGCTATATTACCGAATACCTATTGATTAACAACAACAAATTATAAATACGGATAAAAAAAACAAAAACGAAACAAAAATTTCGGTTTTTTTCTCTCTATTTCAAAATGATTAAAAAGGTAAGATTTTACAAGCATCATTATTACGGGGAAATGGGAAAAAATTGTGATTGAATAATGAAAATACACACAGAATTTTGGTGATTTGAATGTGTTTGTGTGTGTGTGTTTGATAAATGTGTTTGTGTGTCAACAACAACAACACGAAACAATGCTCAAAAGCAACAACAGCAATTCCGAAAAAATGGCGGGAATTTAAATTCCCGTTCAAAAAAAACAAACAGAAAAACACTCACCTAAATAATAATATAAGCGATTGTGCAAATGTGCGAAAATTGGTGTGCCGATTTATTTCCGAATCCGGTGCAAAATCCATGTTTCCAAAAACCTTTTTTTGTTTTATTTTGGAATTTTCATATTTTTTTTTGTTTTTGTTTTCAAAAATTCAATCACATGACACATGACACACACACACCAATTGATTAAACAAACATACGATGAAGCAGAAAGCATTATTTTTAAAATATTTTAAAACATTTAGAAAAGTGATTAAACACAGTGTTAAATAGAAAGTGAGAAGAGAAAAAACACACACACAGAAAATGAACACATGAAATTCCGATTTAGCAATACAGTATGTGTATCCGGTGAAAAGAAAAAAAGATGCACACACACCAAACACACACACAACGTTTATTTTATTGGTCAAACAAAATCAATTTAAAAGTGGTGATGTGTGTGTGTGTTTCAATCCAAAAGCAACAACAACAACAAAAAAAACAGGTGATGTTTAGTGCCATGTAGTGAATTATTGTTTTTGTTTTTTTTTTTAATTTTGTTTTTTTTTGATGATTTTCATAGATAGATAAAGAGTGATTTTGAATGAAAAGAAGAAAAATAAGATTTTTTAGTGAAATTGAAATTTATTTGAAAAAAAATGGTGGAATAAAGGTAAAAAACAACAACGAAAAGTATGCTAGTATTTTAAACTGAATGACTATCCTTCTTTACTATCCATTTGTTTCTAGAAGAAAAAAAAAGATTAACTAAATGGCTAAATGGTTTTTATCACTAACTTTTCTAATTTAAAGATTTAAAACATCTAGACCTAAATCTAAATAATGTTAGAATTCTATGGATATTCTCTCTCTCTATATTTGATTCTAGATTCGATAAAATTCTATCTATGATGGGTTAATCTTGGAGATTTCAAAACAAAACAAAACAAAGAAGAAAAGATTGGACATGCAAACACAAATCAAATGAAAAAGAAATGAATTGAAACATGCAATTGAAAAATGTGTGTGTGTGAAAAAACAAAAAAGAAAAATACCTGCATGCCAATAATGGCATAGATGAAGAATAACATTGCAATCAATAGACATACATATGGTAAAGCCTAGAAAATTTGGAAGAAACAAATTAGAAATTGAGAAAAAATTGATTGATTGATTGATAAAACCTTAAATGATTGTATAAATGTCCAAAGTAGAATACGAATAGTATAACCTTNAAAAAAAACAGAAAAACACTCACCTAAATAATAATATAAGCGATTGTGCAAATGTGCGAAAATTGGTGTGCCGATTTATTTCCGAATCCGGTGCAAAATCCATATTTCCAAAAACCTTTTGTTTTTTTTGTTTTTGTTTTTTGAAATTTTCATATTTTTTTTTTTTTTTTTGTTTTCAAAAATTCAATCATTTCACATGACACACCAATTGAAAAAACAAACAAATGATGAAGCAGAAGCATTAAATATTCAGTTATTATAAAGTGGTTAAACACAGTGTTAAAAGAAAGTGAGAATAAAAATGAAAAACACAGAAAATGAACACATGAACAATTCCGGTTTAGCAAAATACAGTTAATAAAACACCAAACACACACACAACGTTTATTTTAATGATCAAACAAATCAATTTTTTGTGGTAATGTGTTTCAATCCAAAAGCAACAACAACAACAAAAAAAAACAGTGATGTTTAGTGCCATTTTTTGTGAAAAAAATTTTGTTCAATTTTATTGATGATTTTTATATAAAGATATTGAGTGATTTTGAATGAAGAAAAAATAAGATTTTAGTGAAATTGAAATAAATTCATGTGAAAAAAAAGGTGGAATAAGGTAAAAAACAAAAACAACAAACAAAAAAAAATATTAGTTTCAACTGAATGTTTTTCTCTATTTCTATTTAGATAAAGGATTACTATGTTACTGAAAAAAAATCTATCACTATTACCAGCATCTAGGCTAAATTAAGAAAGTCTTAGTCTAAAAAATCTAAAAAATGCTAAAATCCTATGGATATTCTCTATATTCGATTAGTCTTGTTGGTCTATATTCTATGATGAAATTCTATGATGGGTGAATCTTGGATATGGAGATTTCAAAACAAAATACAAGGCATGCAAACACAACAAATGAAAAGAAAAAAAATTGAAACATGCAATTGAAAAAAATGTGTGTGTGAAAAAAACAGAAAAAGAAAAATACCTGCATGCCAATAATGGCATAGATGAAGAATAACATTGCAATCAATAGACAAACATATGGTAAAGCCTAGAAAATTTGGAAGAAAAAAAAGGAATTAGAAAAATCGAATGCAAATGATTGATGGATTGATTGATTGATAAAACCTTAAATGATTGTATAAATGTCCAAAGTAGAATACGAATAGTATAACCTTGTCGTAATAATTTAATTAAACGTGCAGCACGGAATAAACGTAAAAATCCGACTGATATGAAATTGAAATCCTATATTTTTAAAAGAAAAAAGCAAAGGATTAACAAAAGTTTATTGATTAACCAAAAAAATTATCAAAAATTTGACAATTACCTTGCTATTAACAGCACTAAGTGTTATTTCCATAACCAATGCATCAACAACACTACCACAAACAGTTATAAAATCAAATGTATTCCATGAATCTTTGAAAAAATTCTATTGAAACGGGAACGAGAATATATTAACATTACAATCACGAAAATATGTAAAAAAATGAATTATTCTGGATTCTGTGTTTTGTGTTTCTTGTTATAAGTTTTTGTTTGTTTTTTCCTAATCAAATTTCCCTAATTATTCAAGATCCTAATCATCATTGGCCAGTAAAAAGAAGAAGATAATGATGATGATATGACGGTGGTAATGGTGGGGCAATGGTGGGGAAGTTTTTTTCTGATGATGAAATGTTGATGTTGGTGTTGATGAAATTCAAACCTTACAACCCAAAGCGATCATTTTTAATATACATTCGACAAGAAATAAAAATGTAAATATTTCATTTGTATATGTTAATGCATCCGTATAGTAAATATCAGCTTGATGATACTTGAATTTTTGTGGAATTTGAAAAATCGATTGATGAAGAATCGATGAATTGATAATGATGTTGAATGAAAAAAATGAAAATTGAAACAAAATTAATTGATTAAAATGTAATCATTATCCATTCCTTGTAATCAAAAATATTACACAAATGATATGCACCAAAAGAAAAAAAAAACATTTTTCAAGTTGATTTTGAAGATGATTATTGAAGAATTTTCAGGAAAAGAAAAAAGAAAAATCATGCAAAATAACTTTTGTAATGAAGATAAAAGGGGAAAAAAAGAAGAATTTCTTCTTGAAGGAAATATTATATGCAACAAGATTTTGGCCAAGAATTTTTTCGTTTGTTTGGAGTTTGAAGACAAAGAATTTCATAATGAAAAAACAATTCTGTTGTAACTTTATTTGTGTGTGTGTGTGTTGTTTGTGATGGATCTCTTTATGATAAACAACAACAAAAGGAAGAAAGAAAACTTACCCTACAGCCAAATGCAGTTATTTTTAACATACATTCCAATGTAAATAAGGCAGTAAATGTAGCATTTGTATATTGTAATGTTAATTTATATTCATGACTTTGTTGATAATACTGTTTGTGTGTGTTTTTTGTAGTTTTTGTTGTATTATATAATTAATTAATTTTTTTTCCCAAAAGAAAATGATAATTTTTAATTGAATATTAAATGAAATTCATGTTTTTGTTTATCATAGTCGGTGTGTGTGTGTGTGTGTGTGTGTTAAATGTCAAACAAGAATGAATGAATGGATGTTGTTGTTGTTGTCGGTGAAAATTAATAATTATGAATAAAGAGTGAGATAGAACGAGAGAGAGAAACAATATGATGCGGGTAATTGATTGTTTTGTATTATGAAAGAACAGAGAAAGAAAGGGTTGTTTGTTGTTTGATATAATGACAATGATTGATTGATTGATTGATTTTTGGTTTGTTTGTTTTTTGTTTATTTGATGATGAAAAGAAAAATGAATTTTTTGAAGAATAACAAAACAGAATATAGAATAAAGGGATGAAAGAGAAAAGAAAGAAAGAAAGAAAGAGAGAAAAAAATTTTCATTCAATATGGCAACAATATAGCACACACATAGTAAAATATATATTGATGATGATGGGAGAAAAAAGGGTTAAGCAATCAATCAATCAATCAATCAATTTATTCCGAATAAAAAACTAATGTTTTAGATTAACAATACCAAACATGCTAAATTACATGCTAAAGAAGTGAAAGAATTTTCTATAAAAATTTTTTTATTGATTTGCAGAAAAAATGAAGAAGAAAAATTCTCTAATGATATTCATGCATATTAATTTTTTCAAAAAAAAAAAAAAAATAATTTTTGACAGGTGACATGCAAATATTGATGTGTGTCTGGTCTTTGATGAATGTTTGTTTAGTTCGAAAGGGTTGTTGATCTTGTCATTGGAAAAATTAATTTTCATGCCAAAAAAATAAGAAATTAAAAAAATAACCAAACAAAACAAAGAATTGTGGATGCAATTCATTAACAACAATAAGAAAAAATTTACGAGCAAAATGTTTTTTTTCTTTCGAAAAGAAAATATATTATGGAAGCCATTCAAAATATATAAATCATCGTTAAATAATCATTTTTATTTATGGGATGCAAACACTAACTAACCAACCAACTAACTCACAAACTAACCGGTGATAAATTATGTCATTCATTCATTCATAGACTAAAGTCATGCATTCATTCCATTACATTCCAAATAAAATGGTCAAAATGGAGCAAAAAAATTTATAAATAAAAAACATTACAAAAACAAAAACAAACATACCTTCATCATTAATAATATGGTATTCAATACGATCAATACCATAATAAAATATTCGAATGCCGTTGAAACAACAACACGCCATATTTTATATTTTAATGAATCTTTATCTTTTGGCATATAACGTTGTAATGGTTTAGCTTGTATAGCAAAATCAATACAAGATTTTTGATTTTTATCTAATTCACCTTCTTCAAGCTCTTTTTCACCTTGTTCTTGAAATGTAATAATAATTAAGGCAACGAATATATTGACGAAAAAAAATGGAAAGACAATAAAAAATATAACATAAAATAATGACATTTCAATACGAAAACGTGGTAATGGACCATGATCTTCATATACAGCATCCATTGAATGTTGTAATACACTGACAAAAAAAGGGTTAATTGGGAAGAAATAAAATAGAAAAAAGAAAAGAAAATAACGTTAGTAAAGTGAATGGAAAATTTGTTTTGTTTTTTAAATTTACGTTGGCCATCCTTCACCAGTTTGCACTGTAAACAATGTTAACATTGCTGATATAACATTATCATAATGAAATTGTCTACGATCCCAAATACGTTTTCGTACTTGTGGTGGTTCATGTGATGAACTAAATATAAAAAATTCACCACTATAGACAAATGAAAAAAACGAATGGAAAAAAAAATGAAAAAAAACATTGAAAAATTTTACCAAAAAAACAAGCGAAAAAAGCGATAATAACCGAAATGAAATAAGAAAATATTAACTGTTACTTACTGACATTCTTCTTCAAATAATTTTGATTCATCTGTACAATAATGAAAACGACCATTAAATAATTGTACAGCTATCACAGCAAATATAAATTGAAATAACATATAAACAATAAGTATGTTGAAAACATTTTTCAATGATGTTATAACACAATCAAATACGGCTTTTAATTTTGGTACACGTTTTATTGTTTTCAATGGACGCAATACACGCAGTACTCTTAATGATTTTATAACACTAAGACTGGATGCAGCACCTTTTGTACCTGGACTTGCATCACCACTAAGATTTTTGGATAATAAATTTTAAAAAAAAAGGTAAAATTCATTGGATTCTTTTGGGCTTTTACAAACAAACAAACAAATGACTTACAGATATGTAAATGCAATTGCACAAAGTGCACAAATAACAACAATAGAATCCAAAATATTCCAAAAATCACGACAATATGAACCAGGATGTAAAAATATACCTTGATCAATTACTTTTAATACCATTTCGATTGCAAATACACCAGTAAATGCATAATCAAAATAAACTGTTGATGATAAAAACAGATAAATTACAAATAAATTACAAAGAAAATTATAATTTAAAGAATTACAAAGAAATACTTACTTAAAATACTATTAATATAAGCATTTTCATCAACAGGATCTTCAGCTGCTAATGCAATACTACTTAATGTTATAATAACCATTATAAATGCATCAAAATATTTCATATTGGTTATAAAATGGCAAAACACACGTATTGGATTGGATGATGAAAATATAAACATTGATGAATATGGAAGCATTGGTTTTGGTCCGGATGGTTCATCATCATCATCAAACAAATCATCATCATCTTTTTTCTTAACTTTAACTAATTCATATTCAATTTTATGTAGATCAGTACGGCTACCTGCTTTTGCACCACCACCACCTGCGCCACCACCAGCACCAAGTGGTGATGGTGGACAAATATTAACCGCAGGTACTAAATCATCTGATTTGGATTTTATTTGATCTAAATCAAGATTTTCACGTTCACGATCAACTTCAGCTTCTTCTTCTTCAGCTGCTGTCAATTCTTGTGCATTAGCTAAATTATCAACAGCAATAGCCAAAAATACATTTAATAATGTATAATTACCAAACAATACCAGAATAATAAAATAAACACTATAAATCATTCCACCATGATGTATACCACCTTGTGATTCAATTGCTTTATACATAACTTCATTCCAATCTTCACCGGTTAATATTTGAAATACTGTTAACAGTGCAATAGCAAATGTATTAAAATTTGCAGCAGGTGTTTCATCTTCAAAATTAAATGCACCACCAAATAATTGCATGCCTAATAAGGCAAATATTAATATGAATAAAAATAATAAAAATAATAATGATATAATTGAACGCATTGAGGCAAGTAATGAAATGACTAAATTTCTTAATGATGACCAATATCTATAGTGTTTTTTTTTTGGATTGGGATAATAAAAAAATCAATCAATCAATATTGGATCGAAATAGTTGCTTGTTTGGTTGCTGTTTTCGAAACTTACTTTGTAACTTTAAAAATACGTAACAAACGTAATGCACGTAATACAGAAAATCCAAAAGATCCACCTTTAAATTCTGACCATATTACTTCAAATATTGAACCAATAATAACCATACAATCAAAACGATTGAATGCAGAAGAGAAATATTCTTTCAATCCAAGTGCATACATTTTGATCAACATTTCACAATTGAATAGGCCAAGAAATACAAATTCAGCAATATCTAATTTTGAAAAAAAATGAATGAAAGAATTTTGCGTTAATTGAAAAGATATTGAAATTCCGGAAAGTTTCTCGAAAAAACATTACATACATAAAAATTGTGTTAAAAATTCTGGTTGTCCTTTATGTTCAACAGCAACACAGGCAGTGTTAAGAAAAACCAATAATATTACAAACCAATAAAATGCTTGTGTTTTGATACCACGACGTACGGCCAATCTATTATATTTACACAAAACAAACAAACAAACAAAAAAAAACCAATTTTCAAATTTTCATTCATTCATCCAGTTTTTCATTTAAACCTTAATTAAAAAAACAAAGGTTAAGTTAGGTTAAGTTAACCATGATTATGATTAACACAATAATCTTTCTGCTTTTCCCCTCCCAATAAGCCATAAATTCCTGTAATGGCAATCAACTTTTTTATAATATAGAAAAAAGTTCCCGGAAAAAAATGAAGAATAATAAATTGGAAAATTTTACTAGAAAGAAGATTAACAGAAAGTTTTTTTTTTGGTTTCCATTTATTTATCCATTCATCCATCCATATACATCCGTTTAACCGAATAATTAAGCCTGATTATCGATAATGAGAAAAGAATCAACAACAACAACAACAAAACGACAACAACAATAACCAGAACAACAACAACAACAAATGCTATATAAGCCTAAACATTCCAAAAAAAGAAAATATACTCGGACAAAATTGCTATTTTTTAAAAATCGGATTTTTCATTTTTCACAAACACATTCTATATTGGTGTGTGCTTTTCAAAAATATTTCTCTAATCCAATCAATAGAATGCCGATAAACTTTCCGGAAAAGCAAAAAAAATATCGAGCAAATTAAAGTGATGTTTAAATAAAATTAAACGAAAAGTAAAAAAAATTGAATAAATGATACCCACACACACACATCTGATAATGGTGGGAGCAATGTTTTCTGGTTCTGGTTCTGCGCATCACCTTTTTTTTTTGTTTTTGCATCACATTTTTCCGAACAGACCAACAGAATAACCCCAAAAAAAAACTAACTTAATAACTCAGTCAGACTCAGTTGGGAGAAAATTCTGTTATTTTTCTGTTTTCACCGTTATTTGACCTGATTTTTTTCTACTCTCCTATTTCTATCCTGGTATGGCATCGACTCAAATTCAATACCTATCCATATTTGCACACATGTGTAATGTACGATTCGAATACGAATGTTGGAATACAAAAAAACAAACAAACTAGGAAATTACAACAACAACAATGGTGATGATACCGAAAAAAGAAGAAACATCTTTTTGGCTATAATGCCATGAACATCTGTGTGCGTGTGTGCGGGTATTCTGTACTTTTTTTCTGTTGAAATCCAGTAGTGTGTAGGCTTTTTTTTACTTGGGAGTGATAAAACACAGTCGAGGTCGATAAACTCAACGGTGGTGAAAAAAACTAAAAGAAGAAGGATCCAAATCCAAATTCAACAATAACAACAACAATAGTAGAATAGCAAACATTACAGAAGCAAAATAGCAAAAAAATTGTCATGAATGATTCCCGAAAATATTCTCAAGATACTCTATATATGTGGGAAAATGTGGGAAAAAAGCGAGAAAAGAAAAGAATTTTTCTTTGGCTGAAAACATGACGATGATTATGATGAGAAATTCTGGGAAGAAACTAGGGAATTACCGTGTCGATTGACAAACATCGATTGATCACAGTCGAATTGAAACATTGATTTTGGTGGGAAAAAAACAAACAAACAAAACTGAAACAAACAAATAAGGAAATGATGATGATGAAAGAATTCTGAATATTTTCTTTATTCTTTGCCATTTTCAAATTGTGCAATTCAAATTTGAAAAAACTTTTTGAAATTTTGAAAATGTGAAGAGCAAAACAAAACAAAGCGCAAAACAAAAAACAGAATTATGAATAGCAAAGAATATTTACATGTCATTTCAAACATGGAAATGAAAACTGAAATGAAAAAATGTCATGTTTTTTTTCATTTCATTTCATTTTGAAATTTTGTTTACTCAAAAAAAGCAAAACAACAGAAAAAAACAAAGAAGAAACAGAAAAAGTTTGATGAATGGAAATTATGTAACGAAAATGGGAAAAAAAATGATTCAAAACTAACAGCAGCAGTTTTGTAATTGAATAAAGTAAAACATCATCATCTTGATTATCATTGTGAATTACAGTGAAATTGTTGTTGTCAGTGTTTTGTTTTGATTGTTTCTCGGTTAGTTAGTTAGTTAGTTAGTTACTTATCATCACTTTTTTTTTGTCTTGCAACCAAGTGTGACAAACTGATTCTGATTTTTGTATTCTGATGTTTGTATTCTGATGTTTCACAAGCAAACAACCAGAATGGAAAAAAAATCCAGCCAAAAATTTTCTCTCGGATTAAATTACAATGATGAAAAATCGATTAATCAAAAATCAATGTAATAATCATCATCATCATCATCGAAGGATGCTTATTATTTTCGCAAAACGGAATTCCTGTGAAACAAACCCAAAACAACAACAGCAAAGACCCAAAACAACAACGAAGAAAATTATCGATTTCAATTTTGTTCAATTCAAAAAAAAAAAGTTTTTTGTTTTTCGAAAATGTATTTCGTAACCAGTTTACGATCCAAAAAAAAAACTATTTTTCAAAAAAATGTAAAAAAATCAATACCATAATGATGGCCATTAATTTCTTTCTTTATCAAATTGATTTTTTTTTTCTTTGAACAACAAAACAAACTCAAGTTGAAATCAGACAACGATGACTGGATGAAATTGCGAGAAAAATTCTCCGATAATTTCTTGGGAACTTTCTTTCTTATCCATAGAGTTTTTGTAAATCGTTTGGCCCCATAAATAGAAACATCTACAACGAAAAAAAAACAACAACAGAATCTTTTAACTTCTTTAAAAGAATATTCTTGTGTTGTGTTTTTTTTTCTCGATCAAATATTGACCGGTTTGATTGAATGAATGAATGGATCCATACACACAACATGTCTAAAAAAAATGTCTAAAAATAACCCATCACTACTATCAACAACAACAACAACAACAAAATGATACATATACCTTATGACGGTAACATTTTTTTTTGTTTGAACGTCATCATCTTGAATTTGATATATTTTGAGGGGGTATTGGGGGAAACGATGGAGAAAGTGTGGAAAAAGACGAAGAATATCGATTCTTTTTTTTCCCAAATTCTATTCATAAACATGATTCGCATAAGTTTATTTTGGAAACCAGAACTTTTTCTTTTTTCTTCGTCACTAGAATTTCATATTTTTTAGATGATAAAAAGCCCGAAATCACCGAAAAATTTTCATACGTTGAAAGTTTCCCAAAAAATAAACTAACTGACTGATCATTATCATCATATTAATCTTTGGTGCCTGTCATATTCATATATATATAGAATCTGTGTGCCCATAGACACACGAAACAAAACAAAACGAAACAAAAAATTATTGAAAATAACAAACAAACAAACAATGAAAACACTGTGACAACAACAACAATGACGACAATGATGATCAACACACATATATTTTCATTGAGAAATTTACATTACATTATTATGGTTACGGTAAAAACATTTTTTTTAGATTTGAAAATTTATAAATGCTAAAGGTTGATAAAAGTAAAAAAAAACATACCGAAAACGTTTTTCTTGTCGCCAAAATGCTTTACAAGCACCTTTATTTTTTATCTTTGAATGTAGATAAGTTGCACGTGAAAATCCTGTTGTTGTTGTTGTTGTTGTTTGTTGATTTTGATGAAATTTTGATGATGATTTTTTTCACATAAACAGACACATAAGCACAGATATCACATATTTTTTTTATCAATTTTGTATCGATTCATTGATGATGATGATGATGAAAACAGAATGAAAAAAAAAGAATGAAAAAAACACGAATGAAAAAATCCAATTGAAAAAACAAAAATCAGATTTTTTTTCAGAAATATTTCTGGAAATTTTTTGCTGAATATTCCAAATCAATCTAGGTCAATATTATTCTAATCACCTGAGGCAGGCATGCAAATATTACAAAAACATTCAAAAGAAAAGCATCTCAAACAAAGACATTCTACATCATGCAATCAATAGAAACATTTAGATTAGAAAATTTTTCAAAAGAAAAAAAAAACATGCAAGCAAGCCAAAACATCATCATCGAAATAGAATTTTTAAAAATGCAATGCAGGAAAGCCAACTTTTTCATCGGTTGTTACAAATCGAGTTGATTCAATTGAATTTTCTTGATTTGTTTTTTTAAAAGTTTTGTTTTTTTTTCGCCAAATGATAATGATGAAATATTGGTTGATTTTTTTTATTAATTAATTAAAAGTTCATTAATATTGTTACTAACTAACTAACTAACTAACTAATCTTTTATTAGTATTATAAACAAAACTATCTAAGGAGGAGATTCTTTACTACAATTTATAATTACTAAACTAACTAACTAAACTGAATTTTATTATTTATTTATTTATTTATTTACGCAAAAATCTAAATTACAAAATTTAATTTTGGTACGTTTTTTTACAACAATAAAAAAATGTTTTAACTGAATTTTTTTTCAATTTTTTAATTACCTTTCATCACTTTGGAAGGCACTACAGCTTGTTATATTTTATTTTATTTTATCATTTGTAATTGAATATAAAGTGTTTATATATAAATATTTTTGTGTAACCAAAAACAAAGGGGAAATTGGTAATGCGATGGGATTCGTTTTATTTGATATATATTTTGAGAAAGAAAAAGCCAATATGATGTAATGTTGATGAATATTTGATTGATATATATAGTTGAATGAATTGTCATTTTAGTAGAACACACGCACACACCGATAATGATAGCGATGATGAATTAGAAACACACACACATATGGTGGTCATAGGGTTATTTCGGGAGAAACAAAAAAAAAGGATTTCGAAAAACACATTTGAAAACAAAAAAATGTCACAAACACACACACACACAAACATAAACACATAGAGAGACATTGAGAATTAACACACAAACAAATATGGATGGATTCATTTAAAGGATTGTAAAACCAGAAACAAGGAAACAAGGAAACAAGGGAACAAAACAAACAAACAAACAAGAATTTTGGGTTTGGGGATAAGTGAAAAAAAGAAATTGTGTTAAAATGTGATTTGTCCAAAAAAAACCAACAACAAACGAAATGAAAAGAATTTTGTGTTTTGTTTTGTGCAAAGTGAAAAGTAACAAAAATTAAAAATTAAGCGAAAAGTGAAAAAAGTGAATAAAGCACACACACATGAACACACACATAAAAGTGTAGCAAAACAAAAGAATTTTTCAAACATAAAGTGTATATTACAAAATTGATTATTGATGAATTATTGTGGTTTTTTTTTCGTGTTTGAGTTTTTAAAAAAAATTGTGAAGAAAAAATTTTATTTAACAAAAAATTAGTTTTGTTTTCATTTTGATCTATCTCTATGTACTGATCTGGATTTCTAATCAACTTGGAGTAATTTTTTTTTTTGAAAAAAAACTTTCCGGAAAGTTTTTTTTTTGTTTCATCTACGAAAATACACACACTTACCTTCATCTTCTTCATCTTCATCTTCATCTTCTTCATCGGTACTTTTACTATGCATATTTTTTAGCTTTTTACGTTTGGCAGCAGCACGACGTCTTGCTGTTTGTTTATTTGAACGAAAATTTTTTTGTTTGGACGTAAGAAAAAAGGATTAACAAAAAAAATGGTTAAACTAAAACTAACCTTCAATAATGTGCATTTTTTCTTCTTCGGTTGTACGTTCTTCTGCAAGGATAACCTCTTCTGCTTTACAAATCCATTCAACATAACCATTTAATTCACGTTCTAATTGTTGTTGTCTACGTAATTTTAAAAATGCTTGACGATTTTCAACTCTTTCTCTTTCTTTTGCAAATTCACTTGAAACAAACAAAGGAAAAAAATCCAAATTGAAATTTCCATTGAAAAAAACATAAAAACAAAAACTTACCCACTCAAAACACCAAGAACAAGATTGAGCATAAAAAATGATCCCAATATGATTAATGGAACAAAATATATCCAATTATAAGTACTACCAAGTGCATCATTTGTCTGAATTTTTTTTGGAAAATTTTCCAAGAAAATTTCCAATGAAAAAAATGTTCAAATTCACAAGTGAAATGTTTTATTTACCCAATATAAAATTGCTGTCCAACCTTCCATAGTAATACATTGAAAAACGGTTAACATTGCGAAAAATATATTATCAAAACTGGTAATGCCATAATTTGGTCCTTCCCATCCTTCACGACAAATCGATGTATTTGGACAAACATATGCACCTTTTGGTGTTTTATCTGGATCGGTTAACATTGTACATGGTGTTTCATGTTCACCACCTTCTTTTTCAATATCAACTGGATTTTGAGTGAAGATTTTTAAGTTTTTTTGATTTGGTTACAAAATAGATTCAAATTCAATCAAATATTTACCTTTATCTGGCAGTAGATAGCATGTTTTATGTAAAGCTCCTTCATAAAAATCAAGACCTATTATGGCAAATATAACAATTGCAAATAAAACTAATAGACCAATCTGTAATAATGGTGCCATTGCTTTGATTATTGATTTTAAAACCACTTGTAAACCTTTTAATTTTGAAGAGATAGAGAGAGAGAGAAAAGGGTTAAAGAAAAGGGGTAAAAGATTTTTTGGGTTTTTTCAATGAAAAAAACGAAACAAAATTAGTTTTTTTTAATGTCCGCAAAAAATCAATGTAAATGTCGAATGTAATTTTGTTTTGTTTTGGTTTTGTTTCATCACCGAAGTTGCATTCTTTCATCATGTCATCGATGTCATCGATGTTTTTTACGAAAAACCAAGATGCTTGAATGAAAAAAAAAATATTGAAAATTCAAATCACCAATCACATGTCACACGCACAACAAAACAAAACAAAACATGACAAGATTCTTTTTTTGGTTTTCCAGAATGCAAAACTAAACTTTGATTTTGTTTTTTGGTTATTTTTCTTGGATTTACTTACTTGGTACACCTGATACCAATTTTAATGGTCTTAATACACGTATTGCACGTAATGTTTTAAGATCTACACCACCTAATACTTTTATATCGGTCGGTATGCAGAATGTAATCAGGCTTTTTTCATCATTCCAAAATTGATTGATTGATCGATTCATAAACAGGCAGTCAGGATTCATCATCATCATCCAAATCAAAAATAAAAAACAAAAATAAACATTCCGAAAAAATGAAAAAAAAAATTTGTGTTTTCAATTTCGATGACATTCGACAGGCACACAATTTGAAAATTTGAAAAATTTTTGTTTCCGAATGAAATTTACAGAAAAAATATATTGTTTGCAGGCAAATTTTCGAAAGAGAATAGAAGAAAAAAAATTTGAAAACAAATTAATCAATCAAATACAAAATTGATAATCAATTAGCAAGAAAAACCAAGATTCAAAAGAAAAAAAAATCAAGCAAAAAAAAATGGGAAACATTGCAAGCACATGCAAAAAAATTGCAAATCAAACAAACGTAAAATGAAATTCAAATTCAATTTATCATTACAAAATTGCATATATGTTTTTCTTCGTTTTTTTTGTTTCAATGGTCAATTCAATTTGTTTATTGTTGGTTGTTGCTGTTTGACTTTTTTTGTTTTGTATGTACTTACTTGGCGTCCTTGAGACCAATTTTAATGGACGCAATACACGAAATGAACGTAACATACGAAAATCAATATTTTTAAATTCACTTCCTTCGATTACTTTGTTTGCGATACTATTATTATTGATTGATTCGTTTTTTGTTGATGAAATATTTGGCATATTTACATTGAAAAAACATGATTAATTTTCAAAGAAATAATCAATTTTTCAAAATAATTTTTTGGGGTTTTCTCAACTGATAAATTTGTTTGTGTTTTTTTGTTTCTAAAATGAAAAATAAAACAAGCAAGCATTTTTTCTGTGTGTCGGTGTAATTTTTTTCTGAATTTGGCTTATAAGCGAGAATAAAATTAAGGGAACAAAGCGAGAAAAAAAAAACAAATGATAATGATAATGAAAATACAAACCCAGTCAATACGACTATAAAATCCAATATATTCCAAACATTTCTAAGATATGATCCTTTATGTAGAATAAAACCTAATGCCAATATTTTTAATGTTGCTTCAACACAAAATATTCCTAAAAAATAAGGCTCCGATGTTTCCTATTGTAGTTATCACATTGATAAAGGGAGAAAAATTGAAAGTTTTTGATTCAAAAAATCATTCGTAAAAAATTTTCGTAATTCGTACCAATTTAAGTGATAAAGGCGTACGATCTTTGTCTGGTAGATGCTCTTCCAATGCAAGCACCACACAGTTGGCAATGATAGTAAGTAGGACAGCATATTCAAATACAGTGTTTATCCGAATCAGAAAAAAAATTAAAGATTTTTTTGAAATCAATATTAAGGAATCAAGAATAATCGGTGGAAAAACCATCAGTTTTTTTCAAAAATCAAATAAAATAAAGTTATTCATAACAAACAAAGAAAAGCGAAAGAAGAAAATTTTGTAAATCTTATGACAATTTTTACAAACAATAATAATAAAGAAAAGAGACGTGAGTAAAATGGAATGTGAATAATAATAATTTTTACTTTTACTGAATTTCTTTTCCTGAATTACTTTTTTTTGGAATGTTTTTTTCGCATTGAATTTTCTTAAAAAATTTCTAAAAAATTGTCATTGATAATGATGATTTCAATTGAAGAAAGAACTTGAATTTCAATTTAAATTTGATCATTTATGAAATCCGAATCTTATCATTTCCAAAAAAAAAAATTGTTTACTTTTTCTCTCTGGTCAGCCAACCAACCAAACAAGAAAAAACCGAAAAAAATCACTCAGATATGAATGAATGAATGAAAACATTCATCGTTCCTTTATAAATAAATAATGTTTCTTTTTGGGTGGACTTTTTCCTTTTTTTCATTTGTTCGTTTGTTCATTTTTGGAAATGAATTTCTACTGATTTATTCACTGAAAAACAGAATATTCTGTATGTGTGTGTGACTATATCAACCAAATTCTGTAACCAAAAAATGAACATCATCATCATATCTATAATTCTGTATATTTAGGTCGATGATAAAATCATTTAAATCAGACCAAATGTAGAATGAATGTAGAAAAAAAAACAAATGCAGAAAGTTATTAATTTGATAGTTGAAATTCCGTTGTTTGTTTGTTTCTGTCAAAAAAAAAAA